CACTAGGGAAATCCAGTGGCACAGTCAACAGTCTATCCTCTGTGCACAAAGTGAGTGCCACTGGGACTCTGCCTTTCGCCGCCCCCCTGAGTTTCTGCCTTACAGCCCAGATTCCCTCTGTATGAGCCTGGGTCCCCAGGGTTTCGCCCAGAACTGGGGTTCAGTGTAGTTGGAACTGGGGCTCAGCACAGTCCAAAGCTTTTATCTCTTTCCTGCTAGGGAACGCCAGCCAGGCACTCAGCCACCCCCTCCTCTCCAGCTCAGTCCTCTCCCCAGGCGCATACCGTGTCTCCTTACCTTAGGTTTTTACAGCTCCTCTGATTTTCCTTCTGGTTTTTTCTTTCCTTCCCATTGTAGAATTTCTAGTCAGTCAACTTTCCTGTAGTTCTGGATAATGTCCATTTTGTATTTTAGTAGTATTTTTTTGAAATTGCTGTGCCAGGCTGCACTTAGGCATTTACCTATGCTGCCATCTTGGTTTCTCCAGTCCCACTGATTTTTAAAGAGAGTGGAAGGCAGGGGGAAAGACACAGAGAGAAACACCCATGTAAGAGAGACACATCAATTGGTTGCCTCCAGCACACACCCCTACTGGGCCAGGTATGGAACCTGAAACCAAGATGCTTACCCTTGACTGGGAATGGGACCCAAGACCCTTGGGGGTGCACAGGCCTATGTTCTAACCTCTGAATCACCCCCTGGCCAGGATTAGATTAACTTTTCAAAGTGTACATTTAGCCCCATCCCATTTGGCTTACTGTGTGTGGGCCTGCAGACCAAAGGGTCCCAGGTTCGATTCCAGTCAAGAGCACCTATTGTACATTGGTTGCAGGCTCCTCCCTGGCTGGGCCCTGGTCAGGGCTCGTGCAGGAGGCAACCAGTGGATATGTTCCTCTTACATGGATGTTTTTCTCTCTGTCTTTCCCTCTCTCTTCCACTCTCCCTAAAAAATCAATGGAAAATTTTACCCGGGTGAGGAGTAACAACAACAAGAAATTTGTACATTTATTTCATTTTTATATGATTTTTTTGGGGGGGGGAGGGAGACAAAGGGAAAAGGGTAGAGAGAAATATCACTGCCTCCTGCACACCCCCTACTAGGGATCTAAGCAGAAACCTGAGCATGTGCCCCGACCTGGAATCCAACCACGACCTCTGGGTTCCTGGGTTGACATTCAGCAGCTGGGCAGTGTATGATACGTTTGTTTATTTTAAATCTTCTACTATGTGAGACTATTTGTTACCTTTTCAATAGGAAATGTTTTTAAAGGCAAGCTATGTATTGAGGAAATATTTGCAACTCTCTATATTAGAATCTCTTGTGCCAGTTATCAAATTATTGTCTCTTACCAGCAAACTACTTATTTTTTAAAAATATATTTTATTGATTTTTTTTTACAGAGAGGAAGGGAGAGGGATAGAGAGTTAGAAACATCAATGAGAGAGAAACATAGATCAACCGCCTCCTGCACAGTGATTATAAACCAAGGTACATGCCCTGGATCGGAATCAAATCTGGGACCCTTCAGTCCGCAGGCCAATGTTCTATCCACTGAGCCAAACGGGGTTACAGCTAAAAAACACTTCTTGCCCAGTTTTGTGAAATTGAACCTGGGCTTATCTCCTTTGCCAGTTGGCTTGATGTTGGTCTGCCAGTAGAGGGCGCCAGAGGGACATTTACACTGGGAGCAGGAGGCTGGGACTGCTTTTTCCACAGTTGCCAGTTTTCTGGGGCCACAAACCTGTGCCTCTGTGTGTGTGAGATCCAGCTGCCTCCCATGGCCTCTGACAAGTTTGCCAGTAGTGGGCTGTGTCACCTGTGGCCTCCACGTTCTCTGCAGCCGTCTGAATCCGCCATGTGGGGAGGACCCCTTTTAACTTTCTGTCCATTTCATGTTCACCCTCTATCAGAGGTCACGGGTGGGCAAAAAGCAGCCTGCAGCTCTTGCAGCTGGGCCACAGACATGCCATCCAGACTCAGGAAGACCCGAAAACTTCAGGGCCACGTGAGCCAAGGCCACGGCCGCATCGGCAAGCGCAGAAAGCACTCCGGGGGCCACGGTAATGCTGGTGGCTTGCATCATCACAGGACCAACTTTGACAAGTATCACCCAGATTACTTTGGGAAAGTTGGTACGAGGCATTACCACTTAAAGAGGAACCAGAGCTTCAGCCCAACTGTCAACCTTGATAAACTGTGGATCCTGGACAGTGAGCAGACGCGGGTAAATGCTGCCAAAAGCAAGACTGGAGTTGTTTCTATCACTGATGTGGTGTGATCGGCTACTACAAAGTTCTGGGGAAGAGAAAGCTCCCAAAGCAGCCTGGCATTGTGAAGGCCAAGTCCTTCAGCAGAGGAGCCGAGGAGAAGATGAAGGGTGTTGGCAGGGCCTGTGTCCTGGTAGCTTGAAGCTACATGGAGGGTAGTTCATTAAAATGTCCAAGTAAAGCTGAAACCGGTTTGGCTCATGGATAGAGCATCAGCCTGCAGACTGAAAAGTCTGGGGTTCAATTCCGGTCAAGGGCATATACCTTGGTTATGGGCACATCCCCAGTGGGGAGTGTGCAGGAGGCGGCTGATCAATGTTTCTCTCTCATCTATGTTTCTGACTATCTTCTCTCTCCCTTCCTCTCTGTAAAAAAAAAAAAAAAAATATATATATATATATATATATATATATATATATATATATATATATATATAAAATAAATAAAATAAAATGTCCAAGTACAAAAAAAAAAAAAAAAAAAGAAAAAAGGCAGCCTGCAGGCCAAATATCCCTGCCCTTCATCTAAGAATGGTTTACACATTTGTACTCCTGAGCAAAATGTTATCCCAACAAAATGGGACCCCATTCTGCTTAATAAAGGACCCTATTCCGAAGATTATACTCAATTATTCTATTTTTAATTTTATCAATACAAAAGTGAACATTTGTTTTCTGTGTTGTTACATAATTACTTACGTAATATATTTGGTTGTGCCTGGTACTACACAAAGTCTAAAATGTTTCTGGTCCTTTACAGAAAAAGCTTGCTGATCCCTGCCTTAGAGTCTTCTTGTACCTCCTTTTGGCAGTTAACCATCTTTTATTAGTTACACATTCTCTATCTTTTCTTTTCTCTGTTTAAGTTACTGGTATAGCTTGTCTGCTGATTTGGCCCTGACTGATACAGCTCTAATAGACAAAATTTCTGCCAATGAATCAACAATAAATAAATAAACATCCCAAGAGAAAAATAGGCATTTACCTATTTGCTTAGGTAACACATTGAATTCCAGTCATTGTTCTAGGCCCTAAGTTAAAATCATGAATGTGATACAAAGAAGGAAAGAAAGATGTAGTGAGGCTTTGTGATATATAAATGGACCTGGGTCATGCGGAGTGAGGTGCCGCACCTGAACACTGCTGGAAGGACTCTGAGCCCTGCAGGCTGTGGGAGTTCGTTGCCTGTTGTTTGGTGCCACCCCACAGTTGTAGAACATCTGGCATCCTTAGTTCTCATCTACTAAATGCCAATAGCTCCCCCTCACTACCCAAACGTGGAGACAGTCAACATAGGCCCCATAAATCTACAAAATGTGCCCCCCTCCTCCCCGTTTTCTTTTCCCCCTGAGGATGCCTGGCTTCATCTCAGAGTACAAGTAAACAAACATTTGAAAAATAAGTCCTGCCCTCGCCGGTTTGGCTCAGTGGATAGAGCATCGGCCTGCAGACTGAAGAGTCCCAGGTTCAATTCCAGCTCAGGGCACATGCCTGGGTTGCAGGCTTGATTCCCCGTAGAAGGCCAATGATTCTCTCATCGTTGATGTTTCTATCTCTCTAACCCTCTCCTCTCCTGTCTGAAATCAATAAAGATATTTTTTAATTAAGTCCTGCTTCCCTTTGTCCCTGTAGAAAGTCCACTGAGATGAGTGAGGCTGGTATCGTATCTCCATTTATCAAATGACAACATCACGACCCCGGTACTGAAAGATCCAAGTAAAGTACTGATGCAGCTAAAATCCACGGAGACCTGGCCCACTGCTCTTCCCAACCACCTTTGTACAAGGTCAACACAGAAGATCACTTTGGTTTCCATACACTAGCCACGGAACACACTAACAAGGAAATTGAGAAAGCAATTCCACTTACAACAGCATCAAAAATAACAAAGTGCCAAAGAATAAATTTAACTAGGCCCTCACACACCCGGCAATCCTCCTGGAACACCTTCTCTCCTCCTTCCTCCCCCCGCCCCCGCCCAACCCCCTTCCTCTGTGTAACCACCATTGGAACAGGAAGACTCCCTGACAAATGTCCCTGATGGGCTGATGACACACCGGCAGACACACACACACACACACACACGCACACGCACACGCACACGCACACGCACACGCACACGCACACGCACACGCACACGCACACGCACACGCACACATGCAGCTTCAATGCCAGCATCTTTGTCCAGCTGCTAACCTCCCACTTCAGTGCTGTGGGGGCCACAGGGGAGCCCCAGACTCTCAGCTCATCACGGCTCTGAAGGGCAGGGTTGGGGTCCCTCTCTGGAACCCCAGCTTACCTTCCTCAAGCATCATTGTGTGTGGCACAGCTAGTGAACTTCCCTTTGTCCCCCACAAGTGTGTGCCCTGGCTCTTGCTCACTCCAGTCCCGCTGAGCAGAGGGCACCCAGGAGGCTCACAATAGCGACTCAAAAAGGAAAGAAGGGACCGAGTTAGGGTTCCGCTCCGCGGCTCACTCCTGGGGGACCGTGAACAGCCTGACCTCTCCGAGCCTCGGCTGCCGTAACTGTCACATGGAGCCATGGAGGCGGTCACACAGTGGTGTCACCCCCTCCCTGAGAGCAGGGGGTCCTAGTGTGCTTTTGGGAAAGGGAGCGAAGACCTTTGAAATGCCGAGAGGATGAGGGTGGAGACCTTGCCACCCTCACACCAGACTCACCAGGTCCCGCCTCCTCCCGGTAGCCGCCCCCCTCTCCCCTGCCCCGCCCGCCGCTGCTTGCACCCACCCCAGGACAGTCTCCCCAGGGCCCCGCGGGGACCAGGTGTCTCGGCGCCAAGATGTGGCTTTGGCTCTGGCTGCTCCTCCTCGCAGCACAGCTGGCAGGTAAGGTGGGGAGACTGGGGGCCACGGGGCCTGGGAGTGGGAGAGGGGTGTCCGCACGGGTCCCAGCAGAGCCTGAGCCAGGGAGCTGAGGAAGGCTGTCCTGGTAGGTGTGAGTCCCGAGCCTGGCTGGTGGACACCCAGGGGCAGCGCGGCAGGCACCATCCCTGAGGGTGGAAAGGAAAGGGACCTGGGGAGCCCCAGGGCTGAGCCACCTCTGCCCAAAAGCCTGGAGCCAGGAGAAGGGGAGACGGGAAGAGGGAAGGGAAGGAGGTAGGGAGAAGGAAGGAAGGACGGAGACAGGAAGGATGAAGAGGGAAAGAGGAAGGTGTCCAGAGAGGAAGGGGAAGGCCCTGTTCAGGGACAAGGCGGAGATGTGACCCCGGGAGGTGCTGGAGGCCCAGGCCTGGCGTGGGTGTCCCAGTCTTGGCCCAGGCTCTGCAGACACATCTTCATTACTTCCGGGCAAGTTTACGCCGTACACCCTGCCGAAGGGCAGGCGGTGGCCCGTTCTCCGGCAGGTGTGGCCGGTATCCCCTCGGCGTCCCTGTTCCCTGCGGCCCCGGGGCTGGGTGTGCGGTGTGGCTCGGCTCCCCGGTATGAGGGTTGGAAGCCAGTCGTGGGTCGTGGATGGAGCGGGGAGTCTCCACTGTCCCTTTGGCTCAGCCCAGTCACACTGTCTTTTAGAAAAAGCCCCTTCTCTCCCCCCCAAAGTGCCCACTAGCCTGTGGGAGATCTGCTGCCTTGCCCAAAAGCCCAAAGTCTGACACCCTTTAGGGGTGACAAAGCCCGCCCATCCGGCTCTGGTCCAGGGAGCTCAATAGCGTCCGAAGCAAAAGCCGGCCCAGGCCATTCAGAGCTCCTGCGTATTGCCCATCGTTTCAGAAGCAGCAGGCTCCTCTGAGAATGGGTTCCTGAGAGGAAGAAAAGAACCCATGAGACCACACGTGTGGCAAGGCCTGGCTAGGTGTCCGGCACATAGGTTAGCGTTCAGCCATGGCGGGATGTGCAGCCCCAGGTGCTGAAAAGCCAGTGGTCACCAGCGAGAGACCAGGGTGTGTCTCAACCAGGAAGTCTGCATGTCTGGGCGCAGGAGGCAGAAGGGACACAAGCAGCCTGGCACCCCTTCTGACCTCTGTGCCCCTGAGGAGTCACTTATGGTCTTTTTTGGAAGGTGTTTGAGTCTGTCTAGTTGTGGCCCCACTATGTGCACACGAGCACATGACCTCGATCCCGGAACCACAGGTTTCCTCGGTTCAGCGAGTGTCAAAAAACTCAGGTTCTGGAGTTGCAGACCAGGGTTTGAATCTGAACCCACCACCTACAGGCTGTGTGACCTTGAATATGTCTTTACGCTTCCCAAGCCTCCACTTCCTGGTGTATAAAATGGGGTGGGAAGCAGGATTTGGCGAGATTAAATGAGATCGTTCCTGCACTGTGCTTGGCACAGTTCAGTAAATGTTGGCATTTTTGCTTCTTCTTATCTCCCCCAAAAAGTCAGCGTCCCAAAACGGGGTAGATCCTCTACTCTGCTGACAAGGCAGGAGGGTTTTTGGGGAGAAAAGCCAAGGCCCAGGTGCCATCATGTCGTTCTTGATGCAAGTAGAAGCTCAGAGCGGCCTGTGAGGGGAGTCAAAGAGTTTACGTGCATTTCGACAGCATTAGGAAAGGCGATGGGGCCACGGAGCCCGAGAACAAGTGTAGGCAGGATTGTGAATATGGGCCTCCACCTCCTCTTGGACGTGTGCTGGTTGTCATTCATGTCCACACACACACACACACACACACACACACACACCACACACACCGTTCTCTGGCCTCACCCAGGCCTGTGCCTCGATGCTTCTGGGACGCTGCCCACCCTCCCTCCACCCGACAGCTGAAATGGAAGGCTCACTGCGGCAGGTCCGGTTGGCTGGGCCTCACTGCAAAAGACCCACTCTAGCCTCCTCGCTAACGTGTCCCTCGCTGCCAGTGACACCCCTGGACACGTGGATATGATTTACCATGCACAGTGCTTGGCAGTTTGCTTTCTGGGACACTTGAACTCTCAGAGGTAGTCAATTCAATGGCCTTACGCTGCGCTCTATTTATTTATATTTACTTATTTATTTATTTTAATATGTTTTTATTGATTTTTAGAGAGAGAGAGAAACATTGATGAGAGAGAGATATCCATTGGCTGCCTCCTGCATGTCCCCCGCTGGGGACTGAGCCAGCAGCCGGGCAGGTGCCCTGACCAGGAATCGAACCACAACCTCTTGGTTCCTGGGTCAATGCTCAACCACCGAGCCACACAGGTGGGCCAAGCTGCCCTCTTTTTAAGGAGAAGAGACAGGCTCTGTGTCTTCCTGTGGTCCCACCACAGGTGCGCGGCGGAGGCTGGGTTCAGGGCCAGGGCTGTGAGTTCTGCTCCGTGAAGGATCCCCCGCTCACAGTGCTTCCCCTCTGCGATTAAAGTGAGCTCCCGGCCCTGCTTCTGGGCTCTGTCCTTCCACTCAGGAGGCGGATCCCGGGAGCTCTTGATGGCTGGGCTTGGGCGATGGTCATTAGCCCACCACGGAGGAGTGAGTGCCGCTGCTGGCTGCCATCCATGTCCGACGCGGTGGCTGGCCCTCTCCGGTTGGCCAGTCCCGCCCTGTGCTCCGCCTGTGATTCTGAGCGCCTCTCCCAGCTTGCCTGGGCCTTCTCCCGCTCCTTGGAGCCTGTTGAAGGTCTATACAGTGAGTTGCAGCAGGGCAAGGTGAAAGAGACCACACGTGTGACTTTGAATCTTGGAGTTTTTTGTTGTTTTTTTGAATCCTCACTAGAGGATATATTGAGGGGGGAGGGAAGAAGGGAGAGAGAGAGAGAGAGAGAGAGAGAGAGAGAGAGAGAGAGAGAGAGAGAGAGAGAGAGAAACATCAGTATGAGAGAGACCAGTTGCCTCCCGTATATACCCGGACTGGGGATCAAACCTGCAACCTAGGTTTGTGCTTTGACTGGGGATTGAACTGGCAACCTATTGTAGCACCGGACGACACTCCAACCAAATGGGCCACCTGGCCAGGGCAAATCTTTGAGTTTGAATCCCAGGTCACTTATGAGCTGTCAGCGGGGTTTTGAACAAGTAACTTCGTGCCACAGTTTCCTCGTCTGTGTAAAGGAGATAAAAATCCCGAAGTAAGTTTGAGGCTCGGTTGAGATCATTACGCAAAGAGCCAGGTTTATCAGCTCGCAGTCCGCAATGGCAGCTCCCCCTGCCCTCTTGGTAAAGCTGGGCAGAGTGAACACCGCCTTGCAGATGGTCTCCTAGCGGGTGAGGTGTTCGAGCTCCCGAGTCCAGGAACCGCCGGTTAATGTACAAACCGCCTCCAGACTCTGCAACTGGGCCGGTGCTTCCACGGCTCTTCCTTAGATACTCGGCTCGGGGGGACTCTGAGGCCAGGAAAATGGGCTGATGGTCTCTGCTTCTTACAGCTCTCCGCGGCAGCTCTTTGCTCCAGCAGACCCCTGGGGAGAAGGTGGTCCAGACCAACACCGCGGTGAGCCTAACCTGTGAAGACAAAATCTCCCAAAACAGGCCTATCTACTGGCTGAGACAGCGCCAGGCCCCAAGCGCGGACAGTCACCATGAGTTCCTGGCCGCCGTGGATTCTAAGAAGGCGCCTGTGTACGGCAAGGACGTGAGGGAGGAGAGGCTCAGTGTGAGTCAGGTGGCATCCAAGTCAGTGCTCACCCTCGGGAGCGCGCAGCCTGCAGACAGCGGTGTCTACTTCTGCATGACCATCGGGACCCCCACGCTGACCTTCGGCAAGGGAACCCTGCTGACCGTGGGTAAGACCCTGGCTCAGTGTTGTCAACAGCATTGAGTGCCTACTGTGTGCCAGGCATGGGGGCCGCCCCACTCAGCCAGTCCAACCCTACGTGAGGGATGATGGCCCTGAGCAATCGCACTATGGCGAATAGTAACAGAAAATATATTCTGAGACTGACCCAGGGTCAAGCACATGTGAATGTTTATGTCGTTGTCTCGCTTAATGCTGCCAGGCATCCTGGGAGGGGGGCGCTGTGACGGTTCCCATTGAAAGCAGGATGCTTAGAAGCATCGCTGCTTCCTATGGGGACAGAACAACGCTGTCCTTCAGCCACACCGGGCCCTCTGCAGCTGTGGATGCACTGGGCGGGGTCCCAGGCCTAACCGTGGCCTCAAACCTCCCTCCCAGTGTGCACACAGGCAGTGGAGGGGGGGTGCCCTCGCATTCGGCAGGTGGGCCTGTGGCTCAAACCCACACCCAGAGAGGCAGGGAAGGAGGAAACTGGACCCCAAGCTCAGCTGCAAATTCTGCTGCAAATCCACTGTGTGCCTTCGGGCAGATTGCTCCCCTTCCCTCCCTGGGCCTCAGTCTTCTCATCTGTGTCATGGATTGCTATGGCCTCCAGGAACGACCCCCTCCAGACTCCAGTCCTCAGGCGCTGCAGTCCTCAGGAGTTAAGTCAGCACCTCCAGTAGAAATATACTGTGAACCACAGATAGAATTTTTAAATTTCTGATAGCCAAGCTTATTTATTTTTTTTAAATATATTTTATTGATTTTTTACAGAGAGGAAGGGAGAGGGATAGAGAGCTAGAAACGTCGATGAGAAAGAAACATCGACCAGCTGCCTCTTGTACACCCCCTACTGGGGATGTGCCCACAACCAACGTACATGCCCCTGACCGGAATCGAACCTGGGGCCTTTCAGTCCACAGGCCGACGCTCTATCCACTGAGCCAAACCGGTTTCTGCATGATAGCCACGTTTAAAAAAAAAAAAAAAAGTTAAAAGAAACACATGAAGTTAATTTGAATGATATATTTTATTTAACCCGATTTATGAACAATGTCATTTCAACATGTAATCCATATGAAATTGACTTAAATGTTTTATTTTAAAAATATATTTTTATTGATTTCAGAGAGAGAAAGATAGGAGCATCTCTGATGAGAGAGAATCACTGATCGGCTGCCTCCTGCATGATCACCACCACCTGGGCATGTGCCCTTGACCGGAATCGAACCCGGGACCCTTCAGTCCGCAGGCTGACGCTCTATCCACGGAACCGAACCAGCTAGGGCGTGACTGAAATATTTTATCTTCCCCTTCCCTGCTGAGCACCCAACGTGTGTTTTACATGCAGAGCCCACCTCTGGTCATACTGGCTGTGTGCATGTGCAGGCAGCTGCCTTATCGCAGTGGCGATTAAAAGCCACCGGCGGTGCCCAGGAGTCAGGGCAGAACCTCTCCCAGGCTCGTGCCGGACTGAAGCCCCTCCTCAGGCCAGCCCGTGCCAGGGCCAACTCCTGAAAGGCTCCCACTGTCCTTCTTCCACAGGGGGCACTGAGAGGAACGAGGGCTCCCCCCAACACCCCCCCCCCCCCCCCCGCGGAGGGATTCGACCCCTCAGGCTGAGCGGGGACAGGCGGACGGCAGCACAGTGAGGAAGGCAGCAAACAGAGCGATGCCCCGTGGCATCTCGCCAGCCGCGGGCCTCGGATCGGGAGGACGGAGGCGGCGGGGTCTCTGGGCAGCCTCTGAGCAGGCCTTGGGGGCGGCTAACCGATTCCTGTATTGAAAGCCGGCTTGGGGGGGCTGGGGGTTTCGGTTTGCTTTATTGTTGTTGCCCTGTAAGGCACATCTTTCCATTCGTGCGACGTGAGGGGCTGAGAGAGTTGGATGGGGAAATAGCACAGTGGCTTTCAGAAGCTCCCACCGCCACCCACGCACTCTTGTCTTCGACATTTCCAATTCCCCTCACCCCCCGACACCCGCTCCCAGGATGGCAGGGCCTCCCCAGAGCAGGTACCACAGCACCTCCCGGGGCCTGGGGGCCAGAGCCGAGCCCACCCTCCCGCCAGAAAGTCAGGGCGCTTTGAAGGAGGAAGGGGGGGGGCGGGCATAGAAAAAGGATTCAGGCCCCTTACGCACACCATGGGGTCAAAAGGCCTGTCCCTTTCAAAGAGGAGGAAAGGGGGGGATTGAACTGGGCAGGGGCGGGGGATCAGGAGGAGTTAAGGGACCTGTTCTGGACAAGAAATTAAAGTGGACAAGCCTGTCCACACACCCCCACAGACCCAGGGCACCGGCCAGGCTGGCCAAGGCGCCGAGTCCTGCAGGGCCGCCTCCTGGGCATGAAGTAAGAGGAACGGGCACGCCAGGGCTGTGAGGATGAGGCATGGCAGAGCGTGCTGACCCCTCGCAGGGGCCAGCCCCGCGCTCGCTCCGGGGCACTGGAGCCGATGGGGTTGTTCCTGCCACAATTGTGTCCCCGCAGGCCGGTGACCAGGGCCTCGGGTCAACCTGTGAGCTTCACTTCTTCGTGCACAGACAGGCGCACGGGGTGGGCAGCGAGAGCCTAGACAGGGGCCTTTGGACTCAGCTCCCAGCTCCGCTGTGCACTGTCTCGGACGTGGGGCGAGTGGCTTCGGCTCTCTGTGCCTGGGCTTCCCCGTACCCATCCCCAAAGCTGTGGGGTTCAGTGCTGGGCACTGCCACTCGCTCTCGGGAGAGCTTGGCAAGTGTTCGTTCTATTTATTTATTTATTTATTTATTTATTTATTTATTATATATTTTATGGATTTTATTACAGAGAGGAAGAGAGAGGGATAGATAGTTAGAAACATTGATGAGAGAGAATCATCAATCAGCTACCTCTTGCACATCCTCCATTGTGGATGTGCCCACAACCAAGGTACATGCCTTTGACCGGGATCAAACCCGGGACCCCTCAATCTGCAGGCCGACGCTCTATCCAGAGAGCCAAACTGGTTTCGGCTGTTCGTTCTATTTAACTGGCTCTTCTAGAAAGTTCCTGGAGCAGGCAGGGCACGTCCTCTCCCTCTCCCCGCAGAGGCACAGGGTCCCCCAGGAGGCACAGGGTCAGGAGGGTCCAAAGGGCCCACTTTTATATGCAAGAAGCCAGCCCCAAAGTGACCTATTTGTTGACTGCCACCCCGTCCCCTTGACCAGAGTTTAAGTTTCTGGGCTGCTCCCTTCCCTCCCCTCTCGTTTTATAGAAAATCGTTTCCGAGAAAGTCTTTCCTCATCCCACAGAGGCGAAGGCGAAGGCTGGATGCGGCGGCACCCAGCGCTCACGCCACTCCTCCGTGCCTCAGGCCTCGGCGGCCCCCTCTGCTCCTGTACTTGTCCTATTTTATCCCCACCCTTGAGCGTGCGACACTGAATTAGAACCAAAACAGAGGAGTGGCCCACCCGGGAGACAGGAGAGAGGTTTGGGGTCCAGCCCAGCACTTTCCCCGGAGGCCGGCCGCCCCTGCATTTCGTCGGGGCTGCCTTTGAAATGAAAGGTTGAGACTAAAGCTCCCTCTGGCCCGGTCGGCTTGGCTCAGTGGCTGAGTGTCCGCCTATGAGCCAGGACACTCAGTTCCCGAGCAGGGCACATGCCTGGTTGTGGGCTAGATCCCCATTATGGGGTATATAGAGGCAGCGTCAATGAGTCTCTCTCATCCGTGATGTTTCTATCTCTCCCTTCCTCTCTGAAATCAATAAAAAAATATTTTTTAAAAAAGATCCCTCTGGCTCTGAGAGTATATGATTTTTAAAGACTCATGAAAAGGAAAGGAACCCCCAACAAATTCCACCTGCGTGCGAGGTCCCCCACTCGCTTAGGTTCTGGCAGGGCCTGGGGACTCCGGCTTCGGCTCAAGTGGAGCCAGGACTCCAGCCGGGCAAAGCCGCGTCTAGTGCACACTCAGCTGGACACATGGCCCCTTTAATTCTCACAACCACCTCAAGCAGGAGGTGGAGACCACCTTTATTTCAGCAGATGGGACACTGAGGCACAGAAGAGCCATTGACTTGCCCCAGGTTACACAGGTTGGTCAGGGGTGCTGGTTCTGTTTGGGTCTGTGTAGCTCCAGAGCCCCCTCTTTCTCCAGGACACCCAGCTGACCCCTGACCTAGGCCCACAGATAGGCCTGAGAGCTGGGGAAGCACTCAGATGTGTTCTTTATTGTTCTGTGACCCTCATGCTCTGTAGCAGCCCAGGGGATGGTCACAAGGACTTCAGTACCGGAGGTGAGAGGTTCAGTGTTAGATCTTGTCTCTCAGTCCACCTGCTGTTCGCCTGGCTAAGTCTGCGTCTCGCTTATTTTCTGTAGTTGACGTCCTTCCCACCACTGCCAAGCCCACCACCAAGTCCACCCCTAAGAAGATCAGGTGCCGGCCCCCAAGCCCGGTGCCTCGGAAGGGTGAGTTCCCTGTCCCCCTATGCTCTCAGAAACGCAGCATTGTCACTCTCCGCCTTCCTTCCTTCCTTCCTTCCTTCCTTCCTCCCTCCCTCCCTCCCTCCCTCCCTCCCTTTCTTCCTTCCCTTCCTTCCTTCCTTCCTTTCTTCCTCCCTCCTTCTCTCCCTCTCTCCCTCCTTCTCTCCCTCCCTCCCTTCCTTCTCTTTGTCCTTCCACAAGCCTTTCCCAGGTCCACAGTCTTGAGCCTGTCTCTCTGGCTCTGAGCTGGGGTCAGTAGGGAAGCTGCGTCCTCCAGGAGCTCACAGTCCAGTGGGGGACACACCCACCAGTCGTCACAGGACGAAACTTAATGAAAGACATGTCCACTCAAAGCTTGCACATAAATCTTCCCAGCAGCAGTGTTCATACCAGCCCAGAGGGTAAACAGCTCAGATGCCCACCATGATGTGGATGTACGCAATAAGGACAAGCCATACAATGGGATAGCATTTGGTCATAATCAAGAATGAAGTACTGGCACATGCTACAACATGGATGAATCTTAAAAAGGTTATGCAGTGGAACCAGCTGGTTACAAAAGAGCATACATTATATGCTCTCATCAATATGAAAAGTCCAGAGTGGACATTCCAAGGAGACAGAAAGTAGACTAGTGGGTGCCTGAGGCTGGGCAACTTGGGGAGGGCTGGGCAGGGACTGCCAATAGGTACAGGATTTCCTTTGGGGGGGGGGGGGAGGATAAAAATGTCCTAAAATTGGATTGTAGGGATGATTGCACATTTCTGTGAATTTAGCAACAACAACAAAAAAACAACAACAAAATTATACACATGAAACATATTATAATATGTGAATTATATCTCAATAAAGGTGTTAGCTAACAAATAAAAACCCCACCGGAAGGAACAGAACTTTAACCTTCCCCACTTTTGATGCCTAGCTTCGGACCTACCATACCGTATGTGCTTGATATGTTTGTTCATGAGCGAACAAGCTCGCTGCTCTGCCCTGTGAGCACCAGACACTGAAGCTGGAGCACACACATGCACACGCGCACACACACACTTTTCTTGAACTCATAAGCCAAATGTGTTTCTGGAAAAACACTGATCTCTATTCCCCAGAAGTTAATGGTGACAAACGGAAAATGCCATCAGCTCCAACCCAGAGAGCAAACCACAGCAGCCGCCCCAGTGGCCTCGTGGTGCTGGGGGTGCTTTGCCTTAAATACATGGAAGACCCAGGAGCCTGGGAGAGGCCCCTAACAGGATTTAGGGGATGGGAGGAGGAGCTGTGCTGTCAGGTCACAGTAAGAAGAGCATCAGAAAACCCCAAGCAACATGGCACCACCAGTACCCCCCCACACACACACACACACACGCCACACCACGGTGACAGAAAGACACAAGCCCAGGCACCAGAGCCTTCGAATGGGCTTACCCTCTAGACTAGAGGAAACGTGCCTTGTTCATCCTCCTGCCAGGACTGCCGGATGATCGCGAATTCAGTGAGACTTTTATAAAAGGCGGACGAAAGGGCTCCCGGTGTCTTGCCTCAGTTCTAATATCAATCCTCCGTAAATCCTTGGCCAAGTGCAAATCCAACCTCAGCAGGTTCTTTAGAACAAGCAGGTGGCCACGTGGAGTGGAGGGTGTGGGTGGTAGGTGGTGGTTGCATTGGGGGGGAGTGGGGGAGAGAATGCTCAGAGCAGTGTACCTAGCGGTAACTCAGCCAGGCCTTGGTTGGAATCCCTGTGCACCACTGCCTGCACTGGGTGACCTCTCCAAGCCTCCGTCTCCTCACCTGTGAGATGGGGATGTCACTGGCTAACGGGAAGGAGGAGGCAATGAGACTCGGCAGGGCACCCAGTCAGACCTCAAGGCTCATATCATGAGTAAAAGCCTGGTGGCCCCCGTGGAGGGACCAGCTTCCTGAGGCTTAGGGCTGACCTCTGAGAGACACTGGGAGGGCCTGGGGTCCGTTTCTAAGCTGCTGCCTCAGGAGAAGCGTGGGGAGATCAGGCCTCGGGAGAGCCCGGGGACGGAGGAAGCCGGCTGCCTGTCCTGTCACCGAGGCGGCTCTGGCTGCTGGTTCCCTGCAGGGGGAGCATCGGCTTTCCCTCGAGTCACGTTTGGGGAGGTAGCAGTGGCCCATTCGGTTGTGACGACCCTTCAGGAAGGCAAATTAAAATATAATTACATATAAAATCATCTCCATGTGGTTGAAGTGCCTAGGGAAAAAAAGTCTAGAAGAAAACACAGACAGTGGTATTCTCTGGCGGGCGGGCTTTTAGCTAATCTCCCCCTCTTTGTGTTTATCTGCGTGTCTCAAATGCTCCGTGTGTGTCCCCCAGGCCCGCCGTGTGGCCCCCTGACCCTCGGCCTGCTGGTGACGGGCGCCGTGATCCTGCTAGTGGCCCTGGGTGTGGCCAGTCACCTGTACTGTAAGTTGTCCCCTCTCGGGCCGTCATGGCCAGCCCTGTGTGCGTTGGGTGTGCCCGAGGGGCCTTCCTTCTCCAGGGGAGCAAGTTAGATGTGAGCCCGGGGCAGCTCCTCGGGTGATTCTGGGCCTGACCAAGCGGAGGGCTCAGAGCCCACCTGTCCCTGGAGTCAGAACTCCCTGGGTTTGGATCCAACCCGGCCACTCCCTGACTTAGTGGCCTTGGGTGCGTGCCCTGGCCTCTGGGAGCCTCCCAGGGGCACGCAGGGGGATGCTCCCTCCCTGCCAGGGCTGCTGTTGGTGAAGTGCTGCCCCACATGCCGAGCTGGGTACGTGCTTAGTGAGCGGAAGTGCCTGTGGGTAGTCGGGATGGACGCGCACGGAAGTGGGGTTTGGGTTATGTTCCAGCAGCTAGAAATCCCGCCCGTCTGTGAGGCTGAAGGGGCGCTCGGAGGTGGCTGCTGCTCTGGGCCATTCCCCAGAGAGAATCACCCCCTATGCCCCTCCCCGCCCCCACTGCTGCAGGGGAGGCCGCACAGCTGCCATGGGGCCCAGAGCCCGCCCCGGTGCCACCTGGAGCCGGCACGCACCCTCTCCGGGTTCGAACACGGGAGGGTGGCCGAGGCGAACGAGCTAGAGTGGTGGCTCTTTTGTAGGTCACAGACCCCTCTGAGCATGTGCTGACAGTTTCCCTGGAGGAATGTGTCCTGGGCACCCACAAAGGGATCCATTCACCCAGCTCTAAGCACTCCATTGGAGTTCAGTAGTTGCAAACTTGTTTCCTATCTTTATTTTATTTTTATTTTTATTTTTATTTTTATTTTTATTTTTTTCCCCATTGCCAAGCAACGATCAAGGACCTCACTGGTAAAAAAAAAAAAAAAAAAAAAAAAAAAAAAAAAAAAAACAATAAACACTAACTTCAGTTAACTATAGTTATTTGTTTAACATATTATGTGTGTCATTAAATGTGGTTCTAAACTTTAGAATCTAAAGTAATGCAGGATGAGGTAAACTTGTAAATAGTCTTGTTCATGTTTCCTTCCTCCATCCCAACGGGAAATCTTGTGTGTCTCCCAAATACACATGCTCCAGCTCAAGGCCACCTGTCTGCCCAGCCCCTCACTCCAACCTGCTGTGAAGGGCGAAGTGGCATGGTTAAGGATCCACAGAGGAGCTGAGTTTGCCACTTACTAGCTGCGTGACTTTGGGCAAGTGACTCCGTAACATACTGCTCCGTGCCTCAGTTTCCTCGTAGGCAAATGGAGACGATAAGAGTACTCCCCGACTCCCAGGTGTACTGTGAGCACGAAGGGGCTAAAACACAGGCAGCGGAAGCAGAGCCAGGCCCCAGGGCAGTGTCTGAGGGGTGAGCTGCCCTCCTCACCCCTCTCGCTCTCAGGGGCTGGGGGCAAGCGGCCCACGGTCCCTGCTGACGGATTTGTTGGTTTCTTCCCGCAGGCCAGCGGAGGAGAGCCCGGATCCGCTTCATGAAGCAGTAAGTGTGGGGCTTGGGATGGGCCCGGGGCGGGCCCTGGGTGTGGTCCTGGCTCCTCGGCCCCTGCTGAGGCTCACAGCCTCTCCCTCTCCTGCACGGGGCCAAAGCCAGGCGCCGCCTTCGCAAAATCACAGGGTGTATCAACCCAGGGTGACAGAGCTCCGGAAACGTAAACCAACAGCAAACAAGCGTGCTGACGAGTAGCTAAGTGTATTCAAGTTCGGTAAGATGCAGCTCTCAGGCCTCCTGACGGTAACAAGCAGCTCTTGCACGAAAGGAGCAGGGAAGACTAACTCAAACTCCATCCCACCCATCGTCGTGTCCAGCCTGGCCCTGCAGGACACAGGAGGCTTATTTTTACCATTTGAAAGACTTGCTCTAAGCATTTGGGATGGGAAAGAGCAGAATTGAGCTGAAAGCAACAGCAAGTGGGTCCCTCTGACCAGACGTCCCGCTTTTGGCGGGACAGTCCCAATTTCTAACAATTTGTCCCGTGTCCCGCGGCGTTTTAGAAAAGTCCCAATTTTTTTTTAAAGATTCGCCAAAAGCGGGATGTCTGGTCACCTTACTCTAGGGCAGTGTTCTCCCTGCTGGGCTGGATCCGTCTTCCACCCTGGAGCCCACTGGGCTCCCGGGAGTTGGCTCACTCACCATCTGACTCCCACAGACGTGGCTAACAAGACCTGGTCCGTTGGGCACACTGAGCTGTAGAAGCCCAGGCAGAAGCCAACAGACTGAGAGGCCGGAGGCTGTCGGTGGCTCCAGCCTCAAGGACTTCCGGACCCCAGTGGGGCTATGGGCACTGTTCTTGGATTGGATGGTTTTTCTTCCTCAAAAGAGAGAGTGTTTCACATCTACCATCTCATTACTTGCAACCCTGTCCACGTAGGGTTGTCGGGGGGAAAAGAGAAAGCCCGGACCTCAGACTGCAGAGGGCAGCAGGGCCTCATGCCCGGGAGCTCTGGCTCTCATGCAGAGGCAGGTCTGGGTTTGAATCCTGCCGGCCACGCATCCACCATGTGATGGTAGGCAGGTGGCTTCCCCCCTCTCAGCCTCTGATTCCTCATCTGCAGTACCAACCCCGTGGCCATTGCGAGGACTTACTGGGGTAAGCAACTACCCCGTGCTCAGCCCCGGGTCCCAGGGAGCGAGGCACAGACTCATGTCACTGAGGAAAGTCAAGTCTACAAGCCCAACAACCAAGAAACAAAAATTTTAAAATATTCTAAAATTATAAGTTTTTCACAAGATGTGCTCCACGTTATTACATATACCCTCTTTGTATGTATAGATGCTTAAACATGCCTGCTGTATTTTATGGGCAGTTTTCGATGATAGTTTTGATTGGGTACAATCTTCAACCTACGTGCTGAATTTAGAATCCTCCCCCTACCTACAAGACAGTAACCCCGAGTGTATTTGTCTAAACCGAGGCTTCCAGAAGGTTCTTTTGTGGAGAACCAGTCTCCCTCGGGGAACCGCCTGTGGTTCTGGCCCCCTCTTCATTTCAACTCGTTCCCCAGTGATGTGACCCCAGTTTGTGGACCTCATGTCTTGGCAAACCCAAGGGGTCTGTGGATCAACTAAGAAAGAGACGGAGCTGAGGGCGGTCCTGGGTGTGGCCCTGTGTGCGCCCTCAGCCTCGGCTCACAGCTCTGCTCCCATCCGTTGCCTATGGTTACACTTCCCTGGGAGAAATCATCTGAACACAAGGATCTGTGGCTACAAAAGTTTGAAAACCACCTCTGGTTTTGCTATCACGATCCAGGTGTGGACAAAACAGCCCGTGGGCCTCACAGACAAGCTGCTCCAAACTCAAGTTGCGTTCCCGGCCTCTCACTGGCCTTACAAAACCGTCCTATCACGGGCCGCCTCCTGGCCCCTGGCGTGCATCTGTGGAGAACCCCGTCTTAGAAAACACTGCAGGAAGTCACACCATTCAGACCCAGTGTCCTTCGGGCTGCCTTTTTTTTTTTTTTTTTTTTTTTTTTTTTTTTAGCTTAAAATATTTTTTAATGACTAAGATGGGCCCTAAAAACATAGTAACCCAAAACTCCTGGCTCCCGGCTACTAACTTGGAGGGGACCCTGTATCTTCATTGGCCATTTGTCTCTGTTACAGGAAATTCAATGGCTTTTGCCTGAAAATAAGTGGTTTCACAACTTGCTGTTGTTTCTAGGCTTCATAAATGAGCAGAGACTATGCTGCTGGTGTCCGGCAACAGAGATACCTGGTCAGGAAAGAGCGAGATGTGGAGAGAGGAGTGAGAGGGACACGCTGCCTGGGAATTTCACTGAACTGCTGGAGCTGCCTGCTTTCACCACTGCAAGTTCTTCCTGTGGGCCTCGTGCGTGCTGGTCATCTGGCCCCGGAGCACTTCCTGCAGCTCCGGGCACACGGGAGGACTGAATCAGAAAAGCCACCCACACCACTTCCGCTCCCTGCCTGTCCTGGCCCAGCCCAGAGCCTGTGGTGTTGGCCATCTAGCCACCATCTGCAAGTTATTGTACTTTGCCCTGTTGGGCCATGACCTGGACTTCTGAGACTTGGGGCAGCGCTGCATGGCTCCCCTTGTCCTCACAGGGAGCCCGGGGACCAGACCCAGAGGGAGGGCTGGCCCGGCTCTCATCATACACGTGTCTGCGGACCTCCTCTGGGGCTGGGAACTGGTGGTTGGGGGTGCAGGAGGTCATGTCACCTCCCATTAGGAACTTCCTTGCCTTTCAATTCTGCCATCTCATGGCTTGTATATTTCTTCTCTCACTTTCCCTTCTTTTTATAAAAATGTCTTGGTTGTAAAAATAAAGTCCTAAGCAAAAAATGCAAAAGGCTCTTGTGATGCAAAAGCATAAAAGCCCATCTAGACAGCAAAGATGTTGACGCTCAGTTGAAAGAAATAAGGATAAAACGTGTGCATCCTCATTTGCCCATACAGCATGCCATCGTCCATGTGGTGGGTGCAGAGAAGGCCTGAGAGGCTGGTGAGCACCAGGGCACCGGAGCCAGGCAGCAGGTGCTCAGGGCGAGGCCCTCTGGCCACGCCCCAGCTGCCTTCACTAGCACCTGCCATTTCTGTTGAGAGTAGAACCCCAGGGACCCTGGCCTCAAGGCCAGTGACCTTGAACCTAAGGTAAGATGAGAAGCATCGCAGTCTCTGCCACATATCCATCCATTGTGTTACTGTCTCTCAGCTTCGATGGTCCGAGAAGAAAAGTACAAGGAGAACGTGCTAAGCTGGAGAGGGGAGTCCTGATGATGCTCTCCTGCCCTTTGGAAAGGGCCACGGATCCTGCCTCACTCCTCGTCCTGGGCTTTAGCAGCATCAGAGCTACTGAGCCAAAAAAGAATGCAACTTAGCCTGCATTTACAGAGTGACCTCCTGCACCCCAAAGCGCCAGCTCCCAACGAGCAGAGAGTCCCACCTGCTTTCCAGCCCAGCCCTTAAAGAAGGGCCGTGACAGACCAGGTTCTGTGCAGGGGCCTCTGGCAGCCACACAATGTGACGAAGGGCCATTGGGACCGTCACCCAGCATCTGAGATGCTTGATGCCTGTGGGGTTGGAGAGCCCAGCAGAACCAGGTGTTAGTTAGGTGCGAGTTAGAAGGGCAGAGAGGTGCTCAAGAGAGGCAGATGCTTTCTGCCCCTCAACTTCAAGGGCAGGCTGCCTCCCAAGGCCTCGGGCCAGGGTCCCCTGGACCACACTGCTCCAGGGTTCACTGTTAAGGTGGGCTCCTTGCTCAGCGATGTCCGATGTGAACCATAAGGGACTAAGGCCCAGACAGGGCGACTGCCCTCCCCGAGGGCTCACACCCAGTCCACAGCGGAAGGAAGACGAGGCCTCCAGGGCCCTCGGCTCACTGCAGGCTCTGCTCTCTCACAGACTCCCCGCTGCTGTCTTTGGGATTGTGTTTAGTTCTTTGCAAGCTTGCGGAGAGGGGTGTCAAGGTTGTGGGGGCAAGGGTGGGGTGGGGTGGGGTGCTCCTTGATCTGCTTGCTGGGCCGCAGGCACCTGCCGCAGGCTCCGCTCGGCTTGGCCTGCCAGCAGCAGGGGCTGTGGTGAGGAGGTCTGCACCCAGCACCTGGCTTTTGTTTTGAGGAAGAAACTGAGCTGTTACTTCTTTCTGGAGAGCCATGATGGCAGAGTAGTTTTAAAATAATGTTCGTCAATCGAGCTTTTTTTTTTTTTTTTTTTTTTTTTTTTTTTTTTTTTTTTTACTATCAATTCCACTTGCAGGGGTTTATCTTTATAGCCTCGCCACGGAAGCCCTTCTTTCTTTCTCCTCTTTTCTCTTTCTCAGGCACCCAGGGACATCGTGTCCACGCAGGGGTTTATCTTTAAAGAACACACATCTCGAAGTTACATGCACAAATACACATCCAATTGTCTCCTGTGGTTGGCTTATTAGCCAACAATTAGAAAAAATTTAAATGTCCATCCGAAGGAGCCAGTAGGTTCATTGTGATCCAGACTTACTTATAAGGTAGTCCACAAAGCTGCTAAGGAACAAGCCAGATGCATTCATGCTGCATCAAATGCTGGCCACTATATCTGCATATATTCTAACTGCTTCAGTGTTGATTATTGTCTTTTAAATTCAATACATGCTTAAAATTTAAGCCCAGAGAAAAACAGGTAAAAAAAAAAAAAAATGTACATTCGAACTAGGCTGTGGCTGCCCTTGGTGCAGGGCGCACTTCCAGGGAGCACGGGTCTGGGCGTGGTTGAGTCCTGCTTCTCGGTCCAGGAGCTGGTCAGAGAGTGTGTTCGGTTTGGGAAGAGTCACTGAGCAGGACACTCAGGATATGTTGACTTTCAAATACAGATAGGAGTACAGATGTAGATTATGCTTTAATAAAGAGATATTTTAAAATTCAAGGACAGAATATTACAGAAATGTGTAAAATTGTATTTAAAAGCTTCTTGCTTTTCAAAATTATTTCTGCATGTACTTTTTAAAACAGAAAACTACAATCTTATACAACGCAATATATAATACATTCAATATAGAATGGGAAATTGAATCATAATGTTGTTCTGCAAAGTTAATTTTTTTCTCAGGACCTGTGGACATGTTTGTTTGCATATGTGTAGACGAAGGTCTAAAGAGATATATTCTTAGTTGTGAATGGCAGTTACTCTGGGGAATTTCCATTTCTGAGTTGTTCATTTCAGTGCTGTATTTTCTTTTTTTAATCCTCACCCGAGGATATTTTTTCAATTGATTTCCAGAGAGAGTGGAAGGGAGGGAGGAGGAGGAAAGAGAAGAGAAACATCGACAGGAGAGAGACGCATGGATCGGTTGCCTCCCACATGCGCCCCTCCCAGGGCTGGAGAACCTGCAACTCAGGCACATGCCCTTGACTGGGCACCAAACCCGAGACCCTTCGGTCCAAGGGCTGACACTAACCGCTGCTGCGAAGCCAGCCAGGGCAGTGTTGTGTGAATTGTGTGAATGTTTAATAACCATTATGTATTGCTTTTGCATTGGCGGGGGAAACAAAAGTTTGGGGGGGAGGGGGCAAGCAACAGCCTATTTTTATTTTATTTTATTATTTTATTTTATTTTATTTTATTTTATTTTATTTTATTTTATTTTATTTTAAAATATCGGGCGCTTCACGAATTTGCATGTCATCCTTGTGCAGGGACCAGGCTGATCTCTGTATGGTTCCAATTTTGGTATAGGTGCTGCTGAAGCGAGTACGAAACAGCCTCTTTTAAAAGAGGCTTTGGTCATTATAATCTTTAAAAAAAAATTGCAGTCAGCTTAAGTATCCATCAATGAGAGATTTATTCATAAATTGTGATTTTTTTTAAAAATCTGTACCATGGAAATCACTGTGGTGCATGCCGAGGTGGCCAGAGGCAGGGCCTAACTCAACCAGCTGCATGGCCTGGGCAAGCTCGTAACCCTGTGAGCCTCTGTCCTCTCCTCTGTATGGGATCCCCAGGAACATCTCCCTCTCTGGGATGACCACAGACAGGAAGGTCTGGCGCCCCCCCTCCCTTCCTCTAGCCGCAGGTGAAGAAATCGGGCAGCAGCCTGCAGCTGTGGCGCCTCGCAGGCCACGTTCAAAGGAGTCCGGGGGCTCCTCCACCACCCCCTTCCTTTCATCCTTGCTCTTCCCCACACCCACCCTCGGCTTGTCTCCTCGGTAGGAAGTGGGCAACTTGTTTTCAGAAAGTGATCCCCGGCCCCGTGTGGGCTGCAGAGCTGATCCGAACCTGCCACCCAGTCAAAGGGAAAGAGAGAAAGCGCCTGTTTCGGAGGCCTCTCCGGGTGGAGGGTGAGAGGGATCTCCTCCCTGCCTCTCGGGAAACCTCCTCAGATGCGTCATTTTCGGTGACCGTGACTCACTGCTTCCTAGAGTCCTCCTGCTGCACACCTCGGTGCGCGACTCAGATAGAAGGAGCCACATCAGTTGGGGATTCTCAGAAACATGCAGGGCAGTGAACGCAGGCGCGCCGAGAGGGACTTCTGTCCTCCTGCCCAGCGTCACAGGCTGCCCAGGCCTCAGCTTTTCCCATTAAATTACCGCCATTGTAGAGTTCAGCTTAGGCTTCTGATTTGAATGGACACGGTCTACATCTTTTTCATGTATTTTTATTTATTTGTTTGTTTAAAATGTTTTTATTGATTTTAGAGAGAGAGAGAGAGAGAGAGAGAGAGAGAGAGAGAGAGAGAGAGAAACATCAATGTGAGAGACAAATATCAGTTGGCTGCCTCCCACATACACCCTGACCAGGATCAAACCCACAACCTGGGCGTGTGCCCTGACCAGGAATCAAACCAATGACCTTTAGGAGCATGGGACGATGCTCTGAAAACTGGCTACACCGGACAGGGCTCTTTCATGTACTTCTCGTTGCTGACCATCTCCCATTCTGTCCCTCATTTATGAGCAAGAACTCTCCCTGCCCTCTTCTCCGCAGTTAGTGCTCCTGCTCCTTAGGTACATCTGGCTCGTTCCTCAGCAGATTCCTGGACTAGCCCTTCGGCTTCCTGCTGCCACTCAAACACAGTCATTGGAGGCACCTTCCGTGTGACCAACCTGTTCTGTGTGGAGACCAGAGGTGGCCAGCCCCCACGGCTCACGTGTTGCTCATCTCACGTAGCAAAGAGGCTTCCAGCTAGCCTTCTCCAGGGGGCACCACGGCCTGTGGGAGCCGTCTTCCCACCGTACAAATGGGCAGCACTCCCAGGCCTGAGCCTGGATCTCAGTGAATAAACGGAGGAAGCGGAAGGCTCCTCCTCCAACGCCCACGGCAGGTTCTGCTCCTGAGTCAGTGCGCTGGGACCACAGTCCTCCCTCGGTGCCCCTCTCTGCACCTCGCCAGCTGGCATCCCCACCCAGTCTTTCCGGGCTCCCCCAGGCTGAGAGGACTCAGGTTCCTCATACTTCTTAATGTTGAGTCTGCCACGTACTAGTACAGTCAGCGAACACCTGGGGGGGGGGAAAGCTCAACAAATTATATACTAAGTGAGCACCTCTCGAGTTCATGGGACGAACATGTGTGCGCGTGCAGACGCGGTCCTCAACCCCACGGGCTCACGTCATCTGTGGGGGGCACAGACACCAGCCCAGCCCTTTGGTCACCTTGGGAGTGCCCTCGGCACCTCACCTGCCTCACCCCAGTGCCAGTCATAGACACCGAGAAACAAGAAAATAGGCAAATACCCAGAGGATATTAGCACAGGCAGAAGGCATGAATTGCCTCCTCAGAAAAGTTGTGTTCTGCCGAAACCGGTTTGGCTCAGTGGATAGAGCGACAGCCTGCAGACTGAAAGGTCCCAGGTTCGATTTCTGTCAAGGGCATGTATGTTGGTTGCGGGCACATCCCCAGTAGGAGGTGTGCAGGAGGCAGCTGGTAGATGTTCCTCTCTCATCGATGTTTCTAGCTCTCTATCCCTCTCCCTTCCTCTCTGTAAAAAAATCAGTAAAATATATTGTAAAAAAAGAAAAGAAAAGTTGTGTTCTGCTGAGAGAAGAGTTTGCAGCCTCCCACAGGAGATTTGTGGAGGTATCTGTGGTTGGGTGGGGGCAAAGCTCAGAGGGGGGAGATGTGAAGTGTTGGCGGGAAGGCGGAGGAGGCCCACCTCCCCTACACCCCTCCCAGCACCCCTTCAGCATCCTGTGGGCCAAAAGTGGGCTGCTTGGCTACGCCTGCTAGCAGGGTAGGACCAGCCAAAAGGAAGGCTGGGACTTCTGTCTCTACCCCACCCGCTTCCCTGCCCTGCCTTTAGTGTCCAAACTAAATTGAGACTTTTGAGTGTGTTTGCATGTTTAAGAGAGGATTGAGCCTGAAACCTGGGCTCAACTGGGATTCAAACCGTGACCTCCTGGTTCATAGGTCAACACTCAACCACTGAACCACACCAGTCCGGCAAAATATGTCTTATTTTTGTAAAACAAGTAATCCCCTGCAGGAAGCTTATACCTGCCTGCCTGCAGCTGAGCACATATGATGGTGTGAGCAGGCAAACATCACTGTAGACACTCACCTGTCGGCCAACATTGGGCAGGAATGTTAAAAAGCAAAAGTTCCCCTGGAAAAGGAACTACCGTATTTTTCGGACCATAAGACGCTCTGGACCATAAGACGCACCAGTTTTTAGAGAAGGGAAATGAAGAAAAAAAGATTCTGAAACAAATAGTGTCCTAAAATATTTTATGTGCATTAAAACCCAACATCACAGTCATAAACACATGTAATCAACCCTGTAAAGTAAACAGCAGCATTTAGAACCATTTTAGAGCCGGGCAAGCACACAGAGACCACACAGAGCCGGGCAAGTAAAAAAACTTTTTTTTAAAGTATATGTGTATGCTATATTGGACCATAAGACGCAGGGACTTTTTCCCCCCACTTCTGGGGGGGGAAAAAGTGTGTCTTATGGTCCGAAAAATACAGTAGTTTCACTTAAGTCCTGAGAGATGAAAACAATCGTGCTCCTCCTTCTGATTAGATTAAGTGGACTGTTAAAATTCAGTTTCACAATACATAGGAAAGCACCTAGGAATCAACATAACCAGGGGATATAGGCAATAATATTGTAACAATGATGTATGGTGCCAGAGGGGTACCGGAAATATCGGGGTGAATGCTGTAAAGTATGCTGTACTGAAATTAATACAAATAATATTAAATATAGACTGTAATTAAAAATAAAATTTTAAATGAATTCGTTTATTTATTCTTGCGCTGCCTAATGCCTCATAGGATATGGGCCACTCACCAAGCTCCCACACAGAGGGAGCATGACATAAAGGCAAACTGATCGCTGCTTGGAGGGGGGGGAAGAAAAGCTGGTATAAATGGCACAGCACCTGCTTAGGTTCAGCAGTCCTGTCCCCCTCACGCCGGCCCATGGGGGACTACGTAAGAATTTGGGGTTGCAGTGCCCCACACCTGATTTCACACATCGCCTCTTACTCTCTATTTTTAGTTTTTGAACATGCAGGGATTTTATTTTCTCCTCTGCGTTTGCCTCCAATTTCAAGTCACCACCCAGACACGCCGGGCCGTGCCCACTGGGGGCTCGTGGTGTGAGCACCGGGTTGTTCAGAAGTTCGGTGAGACGAGAGAGCATGAGACAAGAGAGCAAGATTTCATTCATTTCTACTTCTGTTTCATAGAAGCATGGTTTGTTATCACAGTCATTAAGCACATCATTAGTTGTTCCATTTAAAATGTGGCGTTTCCAGCACAGATACGACAAAAGTTCCTGACTTACTGAGACTCAGCGGATCTTTTGGGTTTTGTGGATTTTTTCTTGTAAAAGTTTGAGAACAAGCCCTCCTTCACCTCCCCAAACTCCTAGGTTTCTACTTCTTGTCAGGGACAAAGAGCTTGGCTGGCTTCTCTTCGTCGCCGAAGCTCATGTTCAGTTTCACCGGGCCCCGGGGCCAGGGTCCCCTCGCGCTTCTCCACAGGCCTCGCCACTGCTCGGCCGCACTCTGCACCCGGACTCCTGCTTCCCCTCTGGATGTCCCGTCTTCCCACACGCAGTCCTAGCGGGGAGAGCCTCGCAGCGATGAGGGAAGGTGACAGTCCCACCCTTTTAGAATCAGAACGGTTTGCTTTCTCAGAGGCAAGGGCCTCCCTCCCCATGGCATTGTCAGCTCCCAGAGACACCCCCGTCACTGACTCCAGCGATTAAAACAAAGTGACACAGAATAGACCCCATGGCATATGTGGATCACACGATGAAAGTGGCATCCACATGCACGGTGAAAGAATGGGTCATATAAACAAAGGGTGCTGAGACAGTCAGTTAATTCTTTGGGGGGAAAAATAAGTTTTAGCTCTTTACATCTTACACCAAAAGAAAGACCAGGTGGTTTAAATAAATAAATGTTTGGATGTTGTTGTTGTTTTTTTTAATATTTTATTGATTTTTCACAGAGAGGAAGGGAGAGAGATAGAGAGCTAGAAACATCGATGAGAGAGAGTCATCCATCAGCTATCTCCTGCACACCCCCCACTAGGGATGTACCCGCAACCACAGTGCATGCCCTTGACCGGAATCGAACCTGGGACCCTTTAGTCCACAGGCTGATGCTCTATCCACTGAGCCAAACCAGTTTCGGCTAAATAAATAAATGTTTTTAAAAATATGCTGAAAGAAAGAAACCAGTAATTTAAAGAATAATAAACTCTAATAAAAATTAAATATGAAAATTATAATAACTATGCATGGTG